AGAAACGTAGTTATCAGAAACAATGCCCGACTGTTTTGGACGTAATATGGTCGGTGTTTACATTAGCATCGCTAACATTCAGATCTAACCTGTACTGGAGAGCATGTGTGTGAAGAAGCAGGAAATAAAAAGGAACTCACCTTGTGGTATAACCGGCAGGAGAGAAAGCCTTTGAGCTCCATACTGTTTCAGAAACAATCCTTGATAATCCATGATATGGCGTTTCATCACGGCAGCATTTAGTTTAGACGGTAGCTGCCGGGTCCCGCATGAGCTCAGACCCCTCCTTTTTGTATTCTTTCTGATCGTGCCGTGGGTCCAAATTTCCGATATTACGTCATATCGGACGCAAATCTGGATCAGCTCCGTTGTACCCCCGTTTTTAGAGATTTGAGTACGGAGGAAAAGTGAGAGGGTTTTATTATCTGACGCTGCGTGAGTTCCCCGACACACCGGGGACACATATTTATGTATAAAAGACATCAAAAAGTGCATTTTGCATGATAGGTCCCCTTTAAAGCATGTCACAGTAGAGGCACAAAATACAATTTGAAACCTGAATATGAGCTTCATCAAGGCTTCATTGCTTCAGAAAGACAAATACTTTATTGTGTGAGGTCATCTTTGGAGTTTGGGTACAGAGTATCACATCCAAGCTGCATGCATCCTATTTCTGTACAACACATAACAGCAATGACACACAGCCTACAGTAAATGCAAACATTGGAGTCGGTGTGTCTGACTCATTCCTTCACCTTTCACACACTTTCTTTCTCTCTGCACACGTGATCCAGGAAGAGACTGGAAGTGTTCTCTTTCCTGTAATAATTTACCTTTATGGCCCCCTTTCTGTCTGAGGTGATTAGTAAGAGGACACTTCCCATGTGTGACACGTGTGGCGTTTATGGGAACGTCTCAGAGTGAGTGTGTGTCAGTTCTGAACATTACAACATGTGTCAGAGGAGATTAGGACGAGAAGGACACACACATCCCAAATCCCTTGATGAAAGATTTAGGGAGGTCCCGTAAACCCGAAGACCTCCAGTCACAGTATAAACAGAATGTTACGGTAACAGATCATATCAATATAAATGACTCGATTACAGATGTGTTTCTTATTACTCTACTCATAAAACTCACTTACTACTTACTTGCAATGACTCTTCCAGTTTTTTAACCCACAGTTGCCATGTTTTGGTTCATTTGTATGTTTTTATTTAAGCATTCAGTTTAAATCTGTAATTCCTTCATGTTTTAAAGAAGAAATCATTGCATCTCTTGTCTTAAACATCGGCCTTTTTTGCAGAAAGGTTTGGTAGGAAATGGATGATTTTCCGCACAAAAATTGGCAATTTATCAACCATAATACTTCCAAAAATCAGTACGAAAAATACTTCAATATTGAGTTTTTTCAATGTATTATCTACGACGTCATACAAGCCAGGGATGTGTTCATTTCATCTAGAGTGAGTTTTGCAAGCTGTAAATCTCTGCATGAACACAAACACATTCTTTTTTGTTATTTAACCTTTCCTTGCAGTTGGAAACACAGTCACTTATCTTGTAACTTTTTCCTTTGTGTAAATCCCACATGACCTCAAATGCTCTCTGCTGATAGTGAGGTTAACAAAGAGTAAGAGGCAAACAGAAAATGTTTAGGAACATGTTTAGAGGCCACAGAGATCACAGCATGCAACAAGAAACATGCACACACTTCACATTCAAGTACAAACCAGGACCATGGCTGGATTTTTGACGTGTGTGAAAATTAATTATGTTGTTTTAGCAAAGAGCACCATCTGCTGGACTGAATGCAATAATGCACTATCCCACATATTGTTATATGAACAATTAAGGCACTTCGGTTCGGACAGTTTTCTTAAGATATGTCCCCTTCTTAATGTTTTTTGTAATGTATTGATTTCAATTTTCAACATAATCTCTTTTCATATTTAAATTGTATTATGTTTGGTAAATCTAATCTATATTACATGATAAAGATTTTTTTTCATCATTTTGTAACACTTGCGCTTCTATTGGCTAAGGGGCGGGACATCTCTAAGCAGTTGACCAATCACAAAAGAGCCGGCAAGCTAACCAATCAGAGCCTGAACATCAGCAGGAGAGGACTCTTTAAAGTAGAGACACTACATACTGATATACACCTGAACATCAGCAGGAGAGGACTCTTTAAAGTAGAGACACTACATACCGATATACACCTGAACATCAGCAGGAGAGGACTCTTTAAAGTAGAGACACTACATACTGATATACACCTGAACATCAGCAGGAGAGGACTCTTTAAAGTAGAGACACTACATACTGATATACACCTGAACATCAGCAGGAGAGGACTCTTTAAAGTAGAGACACTACATACTGATATACACCTGAACATCAGCAGGAGAGGACACTTTAAAGTAGAGACACTACATACTGATATACACCTGAACATCAGCAGGAGAGGACTCTTTAAAGTAGAGACACTACATACTGATATACACCTGAACATCAGCAGGAGAGGACTCTTTAAAGTAGAGACACTAGATACTGATATACACCTGAACATCAGCAGGAGAGGACTCTTTAAAGTAGAGACACTGATATACACCTGAACATCAACAGGAGAGGACTCTTTAAAGTAGAGATACTACATACTGATATACACCTGAACATCAGCAGGAGAGGACTCTTTAAAGTAGAGACACTACATACTGATATACACCTGAACATCAGCAGGAGAGGACTCTTTAAAGTAGAGACACTACATACTGATATACACCTGAACATCAGCAGGAGAGGACTCTTTAAAGTAGAGACACTACATACTGATATACACCTGAACATCAGCAGGAGAGGACTCTTTAAAGTAGAGACACTATATACTGATATACACCTGAACATCAGCAGGAGAGGACTCTTTAAAGTAGAGACACTACATACTGATATACACCTGAACATCAGCAGGAGAGGACTCTTTAAAGTAGAGACACTACATACCGATATACACCTGAACATCAGCAGGAGAGGACACTTTAAAGTAGAGACACTACATACTGATATACACCTGAACATCAGCAGGAGAGGACTCTTTAAAGTAGAGACACTACATACTGATATACACCTGAACATCAGCAGGAGAGGACTCTTTAAAGTAGAGACACTAGATACTGATATACACCTGAACATCAGCAGGAGAGGACTCTTTAAAGTAGAGACACTACATACTGATATACACCTGAACATCAGCAGGAGAGGACTCTTTAAAGTAGAGACACTACATACTGATATACACATGAACATCAGCAGGAGAGGACTCTTTAAAGTAGAGACACTACATACTGATATACACCTGAACATCAGCAGTAGAGGACTCTTTAAAGTAGAGACACTACATACTGATATACACCTGAACATCAGCAGGAGAGGACTCTTTAAAGTAGAGACACTACATACTGATATACACCTGAACATCAGCAGGAGAGGACTCTTTAAAGTAGAGACACTACATACTGATATACACCTGAACATCAGCAGGAGAGGACTCTTTAAAGTAGATACACTACATACTGATATACACCTGAACATCAGCAGGAGAGGACTCTTTAAAGTAGAGACACTACATACTGATATACACCTGAACATCAGCAGGAGAGGACTCTTTAAAGTATAGACACTACATACTGATATACACCTGAACATCAGCAGGAGAGGACTCTTTAAAGTAGAGACACTACATACTGATATACACCTGAACATCAACAGGAGAGGACTCTTTAAAGTAGAGATACTACATACTGATATACACCTGAACATCAGCAGGAGAGGACTCTTTAAAGTAGAGACACTACATACTGATATACACCTGAACATCAGCAGGAGAGGACTCTTTAAAGTAGAGACTCTACATACTGATATACACCTGGAAATCAGCAGGAGAGGACTCTTTAAAGTAGAGACACTACATACTGATATACACCTGAACATCAGCAGGAGAGGACTCTTTAAAGTAGAGACACTAGATACTGATATACACCTGATCAGCAGCAGGAGAGGACTCTTTAAAGTAGAGACACTACATACTGATATACACCTGAAAATAATTACAATTTTAAAGACACAGAATACACTTTTCGACATCCTAAAAAAAAAGTGACAATAACTCAGGTTTTAGAAAACATGCATTTTATTTCATAATTAATATTCACTGGTAATAAAAATTGCATTTCTTTCCACTCCAACATTACTGTTTATCGTTATTAACATTCAACAGTTATATTTTCTTAATCCTTAATTTTATGTTTTTTTTCTAAGACAGTTCAGCCAAAAACAGCCTTTTTTTAAGTTTATAAATACATACAAAATGGAAAAGTTCTGACTGTAAACAGCAAAAGTGCGACGTCGCAAGGCTTTAACGGTAACTTTGTCCTTTAAAATACTTTTGTATAGCGTAACAGTGGCCTCAATCATTGCCATCACATTATATGCAGAAATGTTTTTTACACTATTTTTTTGGGAGAATCTGGCTCTGAAGAAGAAACACAGATCAGGTTTTGTAAAAGAACGACACAGAAGAACAAAAGACGAATATATAAACAGGCACAAGAAAAACAAAATCATTACATGGCTGTGGTTTGAGGTTAGACATTGAAGATGGATAATTTTTCTTAAAATAGGTAACCCTGATGTTTAATCAATTGCATCAAATTACCCTGGAAGTTAGGTTTAGCATGTTAAATTACACTCAAGTAGCTTAAAATGCTTCCACATTCACCAGCTCCCTAGGAAAAACACATAAGTGACATTATAAATATTGCAAACAGCACACTCACAACTCTTCCCAGTGCTCTACTGAACAAAAGGACTCGCGGCTGCTTCTTTTTAAAGTGCTTTCACAGGGAAGATCTGAAACCACAAAGACTTCCTGCTTCAGTCTCGAGCTCATTATGGTTAGTAGATCAAAGACTGACCCGCCAAATCTGCCCTCCCTTCTTGTAGTCTTTTAGTGCGAGTGTTCAGCGACATGTGCACGACTCGGCCACCATGTCCTCCAGCTCCTTGTACTCCACAATCTTCTTCTCCACCACCAACACGCTTATGGGCATGTACTTAAAAGGCACGCAGGATAAAGGCGGTAAATCCCCCACGCCCTGGTCGTTGATGATGGTCTGGATGATGGCGTGTCTCGGGGACTGGAAGCCGTACGTCAGTAACCTCGGGCACTTTCCCTGGCAGAAACGCGGGTTGTACACCGGCGGCGCGATATAGTTCACCCAACCGAGCTCATCGAAGGAGAGGCGGAACGAGTGCAGCTTGCAGTGGTTCTTCGGCATGCTGGTTTTACGTTTCTCGTTGGGGAAGTCGGCGGAGGAAGAAGGGGCGTTGGAGAAAGACGCGGAGGACGTTGGGGAGTTCTTCAGGACATCCACTGATGTGTCTGAAGACGGGAGTTCTTTGGATCGTCGTTGGCGGCTGAAAGAAGGATGAAAGTGATGCAGTCGCTTCATGATTTCTTCACCTTTTGCCTCAAACAGGTAATCCCTCACATCCCGCTCCTGCTCCAGGTACAAAAGAAGAGCCGGGACATCCAGGTGAAGCTCCCGACGCCTTATTTTCCCCCCTCGAAGACTCAGCCACCACGACGAGTACCTGCCGTCTTCCTTCCAAGGCTCGGTGCACCAGTACCGGGCGGTGAGGGTGAGGTGACCCCCGGCGCCATTTTGTTTCCTCTGCTGCAGGTGAGCGGTGATGTCGGTTTCAGACCATCTTTCGTGGGGCTCCAGGGTCACAACGCTATCTTTGCCCAGCGAGGTGATCTGAGCCCTGCAGCGCGGAGGGTCAGAGGCCCGGGGGGGGGAGGGGGAGGAGGAGGGAGAGGAAGAGGAGGGAGAGGAAGAGCGGAGGTGGATGAACGAGGCTCTGATCAGCTGCTCCGAGGGAAGAGTGTCGAGGTTGTACTGGACTGTGAAGCTGTAGTGGTAATCTGAAGGAGAGAAAGAAACAACATATGAGGACATCAGAGACTCTACACATATTCAGTCTCACCTGTTTGGACTGCATCTTTGCTAAAAGATAAATAAGAATCTCGGTACTTGTGGGTTATCTGTCGCCACTTTTTAATAGCGGGTAGCTGGCTCCTCCACATGAACTTTTTCATTTCTCAAAATAACAAAACATTAATCCTAGGGGTTAGGGTTATTTACAGAGTCTGAAAAAAAGGAACAAAATGGCGACAGATAACCCACAAGTAGAATCTCTTCTGAATGCAGCACTTACAAAGGGTTAGGCTTTAAGTGAAGCTAACGCAGGAGCACTTAATCTGGTTGGGTTTATAGAGAAGAAATGTACCTGCAGGATTTTTGAGTTTGTTTCTTCATGGTTGAAGGCACTTATATTGTAAGTCACTTTGGATAAAAGTTTCAGCTAGAGCTATAGCTATCAGAGAAAGTCCGTACTGAAGTAAGATGGGTTGAAGATATTTAACAAACAAAATCAAAACGCACAATAACTTTGGGGGACAAAAACGGTCAACAGAAAAAATGTCAGCACAAGCTCACCCTCTGTCATCCGCACCCGACATGAAACAGGTGACCTAAATACACAAACCACACCCATGTGACGATTGCTGGATGTGCTCAACAAATACAAATAAAAGTTTCGTAAACAAATAATAATAATAATAATACAAATAATAAACTCAGGCTAAGTAGCCTTTTGGCTCCTACACTAGTCCCCGCAGTAACTCACCTCTGGAGGCCGGCAGGTAGTGCACCGAGGACGCGGAGGGTCTCAGGAGTCGCACCGTGTTGGAGCCGAACTTCCGGTGCTGTTTGGGCCTGCCGTCAGGTTCTGCAGCGCTTTGGTAGAGACTCAACATGAACTGCAGGTTCTGGTCCGCTTTCTGCTCGTGCGTCAGCGGCCGGTGGTGCGCGCCTTTGTGCCTCGAGGAGCTCTGTTGACTCCGCCGGCTTCTCTTCGGTGTGCGGCGATGGGAGGCCATGTTATTTCCGGCCAACACCCCCGTGCAGGTGGAGTACAAGAGGAAGATAAAACAGGACAGGACGCACACACCGGTCGCCTTCATTTTGGGATAAATATATAAAAAACCTCTGGTGCTACTAGTGAGCTCCACCAAAAGAGGCTAAAGTTGGCAACTTTTCAGATTTACAGGCTCGCCTGGCCTCGGGCCGTTTTAGACATGACAATCAACTTCCTGAAATTGACGGCGAACCCAATTAACCCGTCTGGTGTGCGCGAAACGCCGAAAGTAGCGTAAGGGAGTCACGTGACCTGTGCGTGAAGGTGCGTAAGATAAGCAAGATGGCGACTTGTGCTTTTTTTTTCTTCTTAAAGACCATAAATATTTTTTGTAAAACAAAGTCCACATCAGAAATAGACATATAAAGTAATGAAGTAAATACATTAAAAAAAATACAGTAATATTTAAGATTAAATAATTGTTAAATACACAATTCGTTTTGATTGCCTTATTATTCATAATGTTTTTAAAAGTGCTACTATATTGTTTTAGTTAAAAATTAGGGTTGGAGTCAGCTAAATGTACAAAAAAAACAACATCAGTAAGTATGAAGAATTGTATCTATCCTGGATTTTTTTGGTGATTCATTTATCACACAGAATATTTAATGTAAATTCACATACTTGTTCTCTACATTTTACCATATACTTTCTTATTATTAAACAATTAAGTGTTCACATACATATGTAGTGACTTGTTCTTTAGTGCAACCATTCTCTTTTTTAAATATCTACATATTGTACCACTATTATTAAGTTTTATCTAATGTGTTTATGTTTCTATGGATGACTTAATATTCAATATGATAATGTGTAAATGTGTTGCTTTACTTTACTAGCATCCAAAGTTTTATAACTTGACTCAAGATCAACTTAACACAGAGTCCCATTTTGTTTTGTTAAGTATAAAAAATGAATTTAGTTATATACACAGGCATTAGCTAAACACATACTAACTTATTTGAGTCTCTTAATATATAAGGTCAAGATAAACAAAGTTTACATTTGGGATATCAAAGAAAAAACACAACATTTGATAAGTTTGACAAGGTTTTCAGTTTGATCATACCTGTAGTGAGTGAGAGGTGAACATATCTCTCTATGGTGCCATCAGGTGGTAGAAAATTACTCAACATTTTTACTCAAAGGGGCCTTAAAATTACATGTGCTGAGCTGATAATAAACAATATGAATTTGACTGGTTACAGAGTATTTTAGACTTTGTTATTTGTACTTTTACTTAAGATAAGGATCTGAACACTCTTGGTTACTTTCCATCTCAGTCTGGGGTAAAAATACATGTGGTTTGCATTGTTTGTGTTTCCTCCCAGACTATACCTGCCAGCTCTGGTTTCAGTCGGTTTGATATAATGTTTGTTTTGTTTTTGTATACTTTGAGAGCTTTGGGATCTTCTGACATCCTGTTTCTGTAGAAGAAATACAAGAAGAAAGCAGCACTCACCACAAACCCAAATATTACAGTTTCTAAGAACACAAAATAGTTTAAAAGGAAGAAAAAAGGTTGCCTGATCAGACCGAAAAAAACGGCTCGTGTTCGGGATGAGTAGTGAGATGTCTGGGCATGTTTGCATCTTTGATTCTCTTCATCTTCTCTCCTTTACTTGTTCTTTCTCTCCACACACACGCACACGCACACACACACACACACACACACACACACACACACACACACACACACACACACACACACACACACACACACACACACACACACACACACACACACACACACACACACACACACACACAGATTGTCACTCGTTCACACACACACACATTCAGTTAAGTGGGCACTGCAGTGTGGGGACATTCCACAACAGTGATTATCTCCAATCCCGATCATTTCAGTCTGAAGAGAGAGTGTGGGAAAGATTTAGAAACTATGGGGGGAAAACAATACATGGCTATAAGGGCTTCAGTCAGGCAGAAAAATGTTTGATTACATAAATAACTTTGTCAAAAACAGGCAGAAAACAAAAGTTTGACTTCAAAACCTAGAAGTTTTTGCATTCTTTTCATTCGCCTTATGGTGAAAAAATACCCTGTTAGTCACTTTTGATGACTTAGTATTGCAAAAACAATGATTAAGTATATCAAAGATAATGACTCAGAATCAAAGAAATATTGACATTGCAAAATAATGACTTAGTATAGCAACAGCTATATGAGGAGGCTTGATTAAAAACAAACATTATTTTTTGGGTTTAATTGTTATATACAATATGCTCCTTTAGGGACTGCTTGTTAACTGCTTTTTTGAGTATGTCTTAATATGGTGGTGAGACATGCAGACTGGTACGACTGGTAGGAGTTTAGAAATGTGTGGGATGTGATAGCAAATGTTGTTTTTGGCCCGCAGTAGTATGTTCTGTACTTGTTCACTGTGTGCATGAATGGCGGCTTTGACAAAATGTGCGTTAAGCTAAAAATAAAGAAAATTCATTTTTACCAGAGCAATACCACATTGTCAAAAGTAGCCTATGCACCAATGTGAGGGAGTATATCTATCAATAGTTGAAATATTCAAGTATCAAAATTAAACTTGCATGCAGTGCCTGACAGTAATGAAGAAGTACTCAGTTATAAGTCAAAAATCATGCATTCAATTAGGTAAAAGTACAAGCACTAGCAACAAAGTAGTGGCGTAAATAAGACAATATTTGTGTCTGTAATCTATTGAAGTAGAAGCATAAAATAGCAAAGAGTGGAAATACTCAAGTGAAGTAGGAATACTTAATAATTGTACAGTATTTAGTGACTTTCATCCACTCCTGTTACATTCAATGTTAGTAAAGGACAGAGCCAAAATGATCTTTTTACTGTGGAATTTTAAAAAATGTCAGTAAAGATATTTAATAATTGCTGTAATATTTATGCAATAGCTTTCTAAATACTCTTTTTTTAACTGAACTGATAATAGTTTTTCCAGGGGTTGGTGGCAAAGTGGCGGGTTTCATGTTTCAAACGAGCCACTTACTTCTGTTTCTGTTATTTTGTTGTAGTCGCCTGCCTGATGTTATTACAATACAGCGGTTGTTGCTTGACACCCCTCCCCCTAACTTCTCATTGGACACAGCCAGTCAGAGCCTCTCTGCTATTGGTTGAACTCTCTGCCAATCACTTCCCGCTCGATTACCAAAGTTTCAAACTGCGTCAAGCTAGCATACGTAACCGGAAGTGTGTGATTTAGATTTAAAAATAAAACCGTTTTTACGTACTTATTAACTTTTTAGATACATAAGTAGACTTGAAGAATCTGTATGTTATTATGTAAATACCCGCTACCACACAGTTTTCTACAATGTTAGACTTATTTTATTTGATAAATACTGTGACGGATACAAAATTAAATTCTGTTTTCTTCCGCCTTGACCGGAAGTAGCATACGACATAACAATGCTAACTCCAACTAGCTTGACACTAGTTTAAAACTTTTCCTCCCTCCCCCTCTTCTTCCACTCACTCCCCATTCATCCATCCACTCCTTGTTGTTGTTAGAGCCGGGATGGAGAAGCCGAGGCACCGCTACCGGCTCCGCTGAGGACTGAAGACAGACAGAGAGAGAACCGGAGAGAAATACCGGGATAACCGGAGAGAGAGAAATGGAGACCGTGGAGCAGCTCGTGTCTTTCCTCCACATTCAGGTCCAGTTGAGCGGGGGCGCGCCTTGGGGGTTCACGCTGAAAGGAGGGCTCGAGCACGGAGAGCCACTCATCATCACAAAAGTAAGCTGACCATGATTATGTGTGTGAAAATCTGAGTTAAATTAGATAAAAGTGCAGCAAAAGTGTCCAGAATGCACAAAAAGTGGGTTTATTTTCACTGTGTTACATTTTGCATGGCAATTCCACAATATTTAAGTATGTATTTACACTTTTGGGTTCATATTTGCATTGTATTTCACTCATTTTGAGTTGACCATGATAATATGTGTGAAACTCTGAGATAAAAGTGCCCCAAAAGTGTTCCTAATGTACTAAAAGTGGGTTTATTTTCACTGTGTTACATTTTATAGGGCAATTTCGTAACATTTATGTATATATTTACACTTTTGGGTTCATATTTTCATTGTGTTTCACTCATTTTGACTGTAGTACTTGAGTAAATGTACTGAGTTACTTCACACCACTGAAGTTGACAATGACAAGATGTGTGAAAATCTGAGTTACATGAGCTAAAAGTGCAGCAGAAGTCTTCCCAATGCACAAATAGTGGGTTTATTTTCACTGTGTTACATTTTGCATTGTGATTTCACAATATTTGTGTATATATTTACACTTTTGGGTTTATATTAGCATTGTATTTCACACATTTTGAGTTGACCACGACAATATATGTGTGAAAATCTGAATTACATGTCCTAAAAGTGCCCCAAAAGTCTTCATAATGCACAACAAGTGGGTTTATTTTCACTGTGTTACATTTTGTATGGCAATTTCACAATATTTAAGTATATATTTACACTTTTGGCTTCATATTTTCATCGTATTTCACTTATAGTATGTACTTAGTTACTTCAAACCATTGTAGTTGACCATGACAAGATGTGTGAAAATCTGAATTCCAGAAGCTGCCTCAAAAGTCTTCTCTCACTATATTTCATTTTGTATGGTCATTTCCCAATATTCTTGTATATAGTTACGCCTTTGGGTTTATATTTTCCTGTATTTCACTTATTTTGAGTTCACAATGATAATATATGTTGGAAAATCTGAATTACATGAGCTAAAAGTGCCCCAAAAAGTCTTCTTAATGCATTGAGTTAATTCTCCCTACGTTTTACATGGTGATTTTTCACAATATTTACGTATATATTTACACTTGTGGGTTCATATTTGCATTGTATATCCCTCATGTTGACTGGAGGATTTTATTTCGTAAGCATGTGGTTGTTGCATGCATCCAGCTCCACCAAAACAGCGCTTGTGGTTTTAGTTTTGCCGGCTGGTGTGATGTGCTTTTCAGTCTCCTTGGCTGCTGATCCCTCTGTTTAAACTTTTCAACCCATTTGCAAAAACTCTGCTTTTCCTGCATCCTCTTCTCTATTTTTCCCCCACTTCTTCACAGCTATTTGAAGTCCCACTCTTCCTCCTCCTCCTCTCCTGCAGAGTATAACACGTTATTGTCCAAAGCTTAAGCAAATATCCGGGCCGGTTGATGTTTGGCAGCTGTCACTGTCTACGGATGAAAAGCCTTATATAATGTAAAGCAGCGGTCGGGGGTTCTTTAACTCGGAGGTCAAAGTGGTGCTAAAAGGGGGTCCCCAAGGGGATTCCTGGCAAAAAAGAGGCTGTGTCCATCTTCCTGTCACCATTCACTGGAAGCTAAAAGTGCTGACAGAGTTTTAGGTTGAAAAAAATATGCTTCTTTGACGAGAGATTTGCTTTATTTGGTCACTTATTGACTCCTAAGAGACGTGCAGATTGACATGTGAGGTTGACGAGGTACTCAGATCTTGAACTTAAGTAAAAGTAGAAGTACCAGAGTGTAGCTTGTTGGTTGTTATTTCTGTAGACCTCCTAAGAAGTTAAATTCAGGTGGGACAGTTTTTGATGTCTTTGTAGGATTTAGTGCAGATATTTTGACCTCGTCTTGTGCGATAAAGTAGCTAACGTTTCCTCCCGGCTTCTTCTCACGCTTTCACGCTGCAGGCGATGAGTTGCTGGAAATAAGGAGGGTGTTGTTTGAATTACTGCGAGTAATTATTGCTGTGTGTTCTGCTGGGGGTGGTCTGTGTATATGAGTGTGTGTGTGTGTGTGTGTGTGTGTGTGTGTTCAGTCCAGTGCATAAGTAGGCCGACTGACATCCAACCTCTGCTCTCCCTCTCAGTCTTTTTCCCTCGCCGGTGTAAATGTTGGCCGGTTTTCTTCTAGATTCACCACAGCAGGGAATGGAAAAGCCTGGCTCACTCATCTGGAAACACACACACACACGGCGAGACACACACACACACACACGCGCACACACACACACACGCGCACGCACACACACACACGGCGAGTCACACACACAGTAACACAGCCCCTGGGAAAATGTGACTGGGACGGCTAACGGAGATAGAAATCAGAGCGTGCTCTCTGGCTGTTTTGTGTCCAGTGGCCAGTTAAAACACACACAATAAAGTATCTGAGGCGCTGAGTGCTGGACAGGATAACGTGGTGTGGAAAGGTGTTTAATGATTAAGTGTTAAGTCCTTGAAGAGAAGGGGGGAAACACAGATTTAAAGAAGGGTTGAGGTGTGTGTGTGTGTTTTAAGTTCAGAGAGTTTCCCTTCCACACAGAGGGTTACTGTCTTTATAAATAAATGACATCCAATATGGTATGCCAACTCTAAAGGCCTTTTTCAGTCAATTTAAAATGCACAAGACCCTATTTTCTAACAGATAATCAATTCATATGGCTAGTTATACATATTTGTCTATATTTGATGGAGTTTTCTTAACTTATAATAGCCTTTTGTCCGTCAGTGGAGTTTGTTCAATTGTTATTATGTTGTTTAAGTTGACCTAAAAATGGATCTTCATGTTTGGTTTGGTTAAAATGTTCAATTCTTTTTACACCAAATTCCTTTTTTAACAGAAAATAACAACTGTACACTTTCTAAATTCATGCCAGGCCACTTTTGTACGCACAGTGTTTCGATTTTGCACACTTGTTGTGAAGTTAAGTTCCCTAATGTGACCTAGAAGTGGATCGTAGGGTTGGCTGACATGTTCAAATGTTCTGTTTTAACACCTATTTTCCTTTTTAAACATGAAAACGCTACTGTAAACCTTCTGAATCCATCATTTTCACCCAACAAAAGACTTGCTTAATTGCCTTATTACCTCACTGTTCATTCAAACTTGACAGAAACAAAATAAAACTCACCAAAACCATGTTGGCAAGTCTTTCCACTGTTCCAAAAATCACCAAATGTAGGTTAATGTTCCAACAAAATTAGGATCTCGCTGCTTTTCTCCATAATATCTTGTGTTAAATTGAATATATTGCGTTTATTTTTTACTTCTGTTTGGACATGAACCTTGACCCCTTCGACTCTGTAAGCTTGTGATAGACATTTTGACAATTTACGTCAAGCATTTGATACATTTCCATACATTTTCTGACATTTTTCTAGATCCGAGTCGTACAAGTAGTCTATACCACATTCCCTTTACTCACTACGTCTCCTTCAATGAGAAGTCATGTCATTCCCAGGCCAGATTGGATATAGATAATCCCTCCAGCTGTTTCTGGGTCCGCCCTGGGGCTCCTCCCTGTGAGAAGTGCCCTAAATACTTATATTTTTCACACAATTTATCAAATGGTTATAATTTGCAGCCCTGTATGATATAGCACTTCTTACTTATTTATCCAAAACATGGTTAAATGGATTTTGTGTGCACATCAGTGTGTAATTGAGAGAGTGAGTCTGCTGTTTGTTGAACATGTGCATGAGACAGAGTGCATTAAAATGTGCCAGTTGCCCTTTTCAGGATGTCCATGTTTTTGGGGAGTGTGTGTTCGTGGCCCTTTTTTTTTTGTTGAGTGTGTGTTCTCTGCTGGAGGGGGAAGGGAGTCTGAGACAGCAGAGGGATATAAGCCATTTGGTCAACATTCCTCCAGGAGCATAACAAATCGTGGTGTGTGGTGTGTGTGTGTGGTGTGTGTGTGTGTGTGTGTGTTTGTGTGTGTGTGTGTGTGGTGTGTGTGTGTGTGTGTGTGTGTGTGTGTGTGTGTGTGTGGGTGTGTGTGTGTGTGTGTGTGTGTGTGTGTGTGTGTGTGTGTGTGTGTGTGTGTGTGGTGTGTGTGGTGTGTGTGTGTGTGTGTGTGTGTGTGTGTGTGTGTGTGTGTGTGTGTGTGTGTGTGTGTGTGTGTGTGTGTGTGTGTGTGTGTGTGTGTGTGTGGTGTGTGTGTGTGTGTGTGTGTGTGTGGTGTGTGTGTGTGTGTGTGTGTGTGTGTGTGTGTTCATACATACATGTTCAGAGCTCATAATTATATGACTGGAATATTTGATTTCCTTGAAGCCGGTGATCAGCTGTGTGATGACTCGTGAGTTCAATGTTTGTCTGCTAAAGAAGTTAGCCATTAGCTTCTGGTTTAGCCATTTAGTGAGTCAGCCTTTTAGCGTGTTTGCTAAGTGCCAGGCTATCGGTCAACGCTTAGACATCTCAAAGTAAAGGTTGATATGGAAATAACAGTGGGGAAAATACCATATAAAGCCATGTTTTAGAGTTATTTATAGGGCTAGTTATTGCTTTATGTGACCAATGTACTGACTGGGATTAAACCAGTACAAAGTTGGGTAACTTCTCCAATCAGACAATATACATGTAGGGCTGCATGATTTTGGAAAAAACCCTAATTGTGATGATTATTGACTTATATTGCAATTACGACATTATTCGCAATATAAGAGGGAATTACACTTTATTCACATTATCATTGAAAGGCATTAAAATGATAATAGTGGGATTTATTTTAAGACTATCTATACCAAACAAAGGTTTTTACCCCAATACTTTATTCAAATATTTTCACATATCTTTCCAAATATTGCGCCTACCGCAATTTGGATATTACACTAGTAGTCCATATTGTGATTTTGATAACATTTAGACTCATTTTGCAGCCCAAAAACAATACTTTTAGTTCCCATATCTAGAAGAAATAATACATGTATGGTTTTGCTTGTAGCCAATCACCGCAAGCATTCTCCAATTTAAAAGCAGCATGTGATTG